AATCATCACAATGATGCGGCGGCGCACCTTGCACACTTGGACTCCAATGGCAACTTGAACAGTCGTTTCGGGGCTGATCCAGCGATGCAATTTTGCCACGAGCGTGTTCCACGAGCCGTTCAAGTAGGAAATTTCAATGATGACATTCGGGAACGTGTTGGCAGACTGCCTACCGCTCATCGTTTCATCTGCGCGTTGAAGTCTATCCCCCACGTCATGTGTTTGGGATGGCCGATGTTTCAAGGTTCTGCCCATATGAACACCTCCGATATGCTGCAATTGACGCAGAATCGTCCAGTACAGATACCCCGCTGCTTCTTCGTGTACAGCAGACGTCAAACTGTCGATTTCAATGCGACCAAAGGTGGCATCCAACGGAACGTACTCCCAACGTCCAAGGTCGCCTCCGTGTTTTTCTTCCCACTTTCGGAAAGCGTCTTTCGAAATCGACTCACAAACCACAACGGGGGAACTCACGTCATCTTCCTCGTCATCCTCTGGGCAAGTCGCGTTCAGTAGTCGGTCGAGGTACGCATCGTAGCGAATTTTCAGTTGCTTGTTTGCTTGGGCCACCATCATGTGGTGCGTACGAGGCTTCTTCGCAGGATGAGACATGGCGACTGCGCCGACGGGGGATGCTTCAGCTACCTGGGGAAGCCGAATACTTCCAGGAAGGGGCACGCGCCGCGTCTTGCTCTTTCCCGCGGTTGTCAGCATCGAGGGAATTCTTGAACTTGGAGATGTTGGCGGGTTTACATAATCCGGATAAATAATGTTTATCCGGGACAAGCTTTTAACCGGATAGTGTTCGGATAGTTTCAAACAATAGTCGGCGAGATTGGATTCGACGTGTGCGTTCGACGAAATATACCAGACTTAGACGAAAAATGGTGTACTACAGTAGTTAGTACTACTACTAGGTACACCATTTTTCGTTCAGGTTATTTCCGGGATATTTCGTTCAAAGCAGAACTGATTCACGCTATGTGCGTTATGTTCGTCAAGCATTCAATATATTTCGTCCAGACCCTACGACTGATCTCCGGTATATGTTACCCCCCAGGCGGTATATTTCACACTTTGTTCAATATATTTCAAATTATGTTCCATCTATTTCGATCTTCGAAGCAAATCAAGTACTTGAAGTAAATCGCAGGCGATGGATACTTGTCTAAATCATACCATACAGTAGATATTGTGCTATCGAGCATTTTCGGTAGATTCGACGAACGACGTCAAATCCACCTGAAATCGTCGAGACGTCATTTTGCTTGAACTAAATATACTCACTGTGACTCCTGTCCGATACAACGTTGAACTCTTTGTGAAATGGAGAAGCTTGGCAATGCACCGGATACACCTTCCATTTGATTTATCCAAAGTTTCTTTTTTCGAAAATTTAATTGGCTACTTGGGTCCGTCGATTTCTGCGTCGATTTATCGAAATAGATGGAACATCATTTGAAATATATTGAACAGTAAATCTACTACTACCGGGTACATCTACCCCACATGGAAACAGCACAACGTTCGAGCGTTTGCAGCTACCATGTGTACAAGCAAAAACGATTGAATAAGTCAACTTGGATTCCAAATATATCATGCCAACACCACTATCAAACGTCGTTATCACGTTGAACAGCCGGCCCCGCCAGCCACGCGGAGACACGCCGTGGATTTAAACATGGACAGCAAGCTCGCAACGATCGAGAGCACGAGCACTGAAAACGACACGACGAGGACGGCGCCTCCCACGAGGGGGTAGCTTCCCCCCGTCGCTTTGAGCGTCGCGACCGCCGCCTTTTGCGACGGAAACATCACAACGCACAAGCAGCTCAGGACGGTCGTGCCATATGTGACAAGGTACGTGTACGCGACTTGGTGGCGGACGTGCATCGAATCTTGCTGAATGTCGGACGACGACACGTCGAATTGTGCGCAGTAAATGTTGGTCAATACCGATCCAAAGATGCCCGGGAGGTTGCCCACAGTCGTGAGTAGGCCGTACACGATGCCTTCGTGCCCGTCTTCGGCTAACTCGACGATCACAAACACATTCACAGCCCAGGTAGAACCACTGGTTGCGTACGACGTCATAGATGGTGAGAAACTGGACGACGGCGTCGATGGCCGTACTGAGCAGCGTCGTGACCACAATCACAATCCGCCAGTTCCACTGCGTACCGTAGCGACCAGTGGCAGCCAGCACCACCGCGAGAATCAAGTGCCCGAGTACCCCGATCACGGCGTTGTTGATTGATTCGACCTTGGCCCAGTGGTACTTGACGTACGGCGCCGCGGTTGTGGTGAGGTTGGACCCGAGCAACGACGACAAGAAGCTGTACAGCATCACCTGCCACACCGCTCGTTTCTGCACAAGTTTCCAGAATTGCAGCAAGTACGGCCGCAACGGCTGCGGCTCACGCTTGGTGTCGTGGACGCCCCAGTACGTCGCGGGCACTACCGCAAAGTTGACCAGCGCTAGACACCCAAACGCGCCGTTCATGCCCAAGTCCCACGAAAAGCGACCGCCATATGCAGGGGAATTGAGGCAAAAGCCCAGAAAACACGTGGAAACCGCCGCCGAAGCCGACCGCACAGAGTAAATCAGCGACTGGAGCCGCCCGCGGACGTTTTCGGGCTCGCGCTGTGCGTATTCGACCACCAACGCGTCCGCCGCCACGTCCGATACGACGAACGCGATCGTGGCGACTGCGCATGCGAGGGCGATGAAGGTCCCGCGGCGACCGGCGTGAACGTCGACGTCGTGCAGGCGTTGGAAAGGCGTGAGTTTTGCAAGGGGGATGCCGTCGATGGCACGATTGAGGTAGTACGGGGACCCGTGGTCGTGCAGCGCGAGGAAGAGCATGCAACACCCACATGCAATCCACCCGAGGATCATGTACGATTTGCGACGATACCCAAAGAGCGGGGCGCAGTCCGAGAGGATGCCGACAAACACCTTGAGGGACCACCCGCGTCCCATGAGAGCCGTCGCCGCATTGAACTACGACCCTTCCATTGGGGTAACTGAACTGCTGCATGGCACCGATCATCAACCCGACACTGATGTACTGCGCCAAGAGCGAAGTCCCGGCTCGCATAATCCGGTGCGTCCCCGTCCCGCAACGCAGACGACACCTGCTTCTTCAGGGAGACAACATCATCATGCACCGTCAGTGAGGAAGAATTGGGTGGACCTCCACGGCCAGCAGCAGCCACAAGTTCCATCGCCACGGGAGTCGGCGTCGACATGGTGGTTGCCGTGATCAACCGTTTCGAAACGAATAGGGCCATTTGATTGGCTGAACTTTTGGAGCGGTTGGAAGATCTCAAAATCATAAGGCCTTCTGATTGGCTGAATATACTTGACCTTTCTGTATTAGCCAATCCGGTCGGTTCAAAATTTGATTAGCCCTCTACGAAACGTAACTTGATTGGCTGACCTGTCGAGCTTGTGTAGTACAGTATGGCGGCGCAATAGTCGGCTGAGTGTATGGCGATAGGAGTAAACTCCGCAGTCTATGTCAAAGCCATATCGTCCATTTTGGATGAGGTAATCAAGGCATACGAAAAGCAGGAGCGTGTCAACATGACTTGCCTCAAGGTAGAGCCAACATAAACAAAATTGTACTACAACTACAGTAGCATCAAGTTCATTGTACACTTGTAACGTAAAAGTCCAATTTAAGAACACTTTTTCTGCTGCCGGGAAAGGCATGTAACTCGAGTCGTAGGTATCGGATTATAATTCTAGAATATGTTACATGAAGCCAAAATACAGGTCTATTCGGGAGTTAGGAATGCGATATGATTCCTGTTATAATTCATTAGTATCACTCACATCACTTTGTTCAGAAGCAGCTTAAATCAAGCGGTCCAATTTAAAGTGCACCATTTAATCTTAGTCTTTGTATACCCAATTGCATATTTTTTGGGCGGGTAGGTTAAAAACTGCCTTTGCAGGAATTGATTAGCTAATTCGCGTGCACCTTAAATTGGATCGAGCACCTTAAATTGGACTTTTATGTTATCCGAACACTATCCGGTTAAAAGCGTTCCCCGGATAAACATTATTTATCCGGATTATGTAAACCCGCCAACATCTCCAAGTTGAAGAATTCCCTCGATGCTGACAACCGCGGGAAAGAGCAAGACGCGGCGCGTGCCCCTTCCTGGAAGTATTCGGCTTCCCCGGGTAGCTGAAGCATCCCCCGTCGGCGCAGTCGCTATGTCTCATTCTGCAAAGAAGCCTCGTACGCACCACATGATGGTGGCCCAAGCAAACAAGCAACTGAAAATTCGCTACGATGCGTACCTCGACCGACTGCTGAATGCGACTTGTCCAGAGGATGACGAGGAAGATGACGTGAGTTCCCCCGTTGTGGTTTGTGAGTCGATTTCGAAAGACGCTTTCCGAAAGTGGGAAGAAAAACACGGAGGCGACCTTGGACGTTGGGAGTACGTTCCGTTGGATGCCAACTTTGGTCGCATTGAAATCGACAGTTTGACGTCTGCTGTACACGAAGAAGCAGCGGGGTATCTGTACTGGACGATTCTGCGTCAATTGCAGCATATCGGAGGTGTTGATATCGGCGACACATTGAAACATCGGCCATCCCAAACACATGACGTGGGGGATAGACTTCAACGCGCAGATGAAACGATGAGCGGTAGGCAGTCTGCCAACACGTTCCCGAATGTCATCATTGAAATTTCCTACTTGAACGGCTCGTGGAACACGCTCGTGGCAAAATTGCATCGCTGGATCAGCCCCGAAACGACTGTTCAAGTTGCCATTGGAGTCCAAGTGTGCAAGGTGCGCCGCCGTATCATTGTGATGATTCGAGGAGATCCTCTGATTGAGCAAGTGGTCGACTTTGACGTCAAGTCCCATGCGATCATTCCACCAGCAACCTTTCCCTCGTTTCCCCTGCATTTGATTTATCACAACGGCCCACTCCCAGCAGAACTGGCTGGACACGCCAATGACGAAATCGTGCTCGATTTGGCTACACTGCGGGTGCGAATTGCCGAAGCGCTGGCCGAAATGCTGGCTGCTGCTGCTGCAGCTAATGCTGCCGCCCAGTAACTAATAGTATTTTTATCGGTTCTTTGTGTTCTAAACGAGTCGCTGCTTACATGTAACGTAATACCCTGGAATGAAATCGGGTTCTCAAAGTACTCTTCCACTTGTACTACCCGCAGTTTATCAAAATGGTAGCATAATGTTGAGAATTTTAAAATGATACTAGTACTGATTAAAAGAGTATGAAATACTAGTAATAGATAAATATCATTTGTATATGTCGCTCTCATATTAGAAAATCTGAATGCGCAAAACATAATTGAACAGTCAAACGTAGCAACTTTATCAATTCACAATAATTAACAATTTTACGAATTATCTATTTTTTTTCTATATAATCATCATGATCAATTTGGAAAGCAAACCAGAAACTTCGTTTCTTAAAATTGATTTAGATTATAATATAATTTTAAACCATTTCTTGCAGAGAGATTGGTCATCACATGAATTACAAGTATAATTCATTGATTCTATAGAGAATGGATATTCATTTAGAGCATTATATATTGAAACTTCTCCAGATTATGTATGGCTGTCTTTTTGGCTTGCGCAATAAACACAATAATACAAAAAGACAGTAGGTTTAGAGGTTTACTTTATAGTTTCTGTATTTCTTGTTCTACTGCAATCGAGTAAGCATATTTTTTTAATCGCGTTACGTTGACTATTCGTGAACTTCTCTTCTCCGAGATTAATTCCCCTTTTAAGTTCTTTAAATCCCGTTTCACTCAGTGAACAAAGTGAACTACTAAGCGGTAACTCTCTATTGTTTTTTTACGCTATCAGTCGTGGGCGAGTCTAGAACGAGCTGCCCATTGATGGCTCGATTACACGGGAGTTCTTGGTTTTTTTCTATTTTTGTAGCTTGATCATCATACTTAATGTATATTCATATGAATCATCCGGTTCTGCATTTTGCCATGATTGAACAATATGTATATATATCATACCAAGATCAGTTGCTCCCCGTTCAATCCCCATCAGTATCTTCGAAATGCTAGTCAATTACTGCATAATATATATATATAAATATACTATGAATGTTTTATTAAATAAGTTAAAGATGCAAAATATACTATGAATGTTTTATTAAATAAGTTAAAGATGCAAAACAAATATACTTGGAGACCAAAAGTTATATTTGATCATGTTAAAGAAAAGAAAATACATTTCCTGAAGCTGGATACAAGTACATGGCTGATATATTCTATATACTTCCTCTGTTCCAGGTGCCGACATTTCAAAATTCGCATGTTCCAAGTTACTGGCGACATTTCCATTTCATTGGCTGTATTTCTTCAATTTCTATCAATATCGAACATTTATGACATTTCATTGGCATACAATAGCTTTAAGCACTGATTATAAACCAATCTTTTGCGAAAATTCATGCAATATTCGCCCAAATTGAGTGAGGGCTCGATTTTCTGTGTCAATTCAAAGTAAATGTCGGCAGTAACCTGGAACAGAGGAAGTAAGTACTTATATATCCTAACGCTTGTAGATATTTGGAGTAATACATGCGATTTTGAGCCTATGAAATCCAAAACTCCGGAGAGTAATTTACATTAACAGTAAAAGCGAAATAGCAATTTTTATACGAGGTATCCTCAAAAAGCCAAAGGCTTCCCTTAGAACAGATGCTGGCTCAGAATTCAAAGATGTGTTTGCTAACGTGTAAATATCTACTACTACTACGTAGTACTACGTAGTATATGATAATAATACTCCGAGTATCTTACATCGTGTTCGAGAAGTTAATCGGCATCAGCAACAAGGGAATGTAGAGCGATTAAATTATGAATTTGGTACGATATTGAACGGTTATATGAAATCAATTGAAACTGGAAGTGAGTATAAAGAATGGACCGACGTAATTGATTCGTTAGCGAAGTACGAAATAAATTTAGAAAGTTCCAAGGAGGGGTCAAATTATCAACTTTTAAATTTGGCGATGTGCAAATTGGTTCTATTAAGGTAGGCGATCGTGTTTACTATCGTTCTGACGTTCCTTTAACTGTCCTAGGACATAAACAACGA